TCTGCAGAGCCTTCCTATCCTCATGCAGATCAACACTCCCACCTAGCTTGCTGTTATCTGCAGACTTACTGATGATGCACCCTATATCCTTATCAATTGCTCTTATATTGTTCTAGAATTATGTATTCTGTTATAGACAGACAGACAGACACAGAGATTAGGGGTTGACCTGCTAGAAAGCAGCCCCATGGAGAAGGACCTTTGGGTCTTGGTGAACAAGTGATCCATGGGACACATAGTATTACTTGTGGCACATAGTATTACATGTAACGATCTATATAATATACAAACATATCACATGAAATAGGGATTATATATATCATATATGTATTTGAGTAGCTCATAAATACAAATATGTAAGCACATATATATACACACCTGTCTCGTATATGCATATGTATACGTATGTGTGTGTGCATGATTGCTTCAGATGCCTTGCCTTCAGGAAGGCATCTCAGTGGTTAAAAGAGGTGAATGAGTGAAGCACAATATGAAAGTCTTCATACCATGTTGTTCATCAAGTGTTGGGAACTAAACTGTTTCCTGCTTTTTTAATTGAGCCTTGCTAGGATAAACTTAGGGACTATATGGCATGTACCAGGGAATGGTAGATGAATTATTGAGAAGATTACCAAGAAGTGCAGGAGGCTTTTTGTGTTTTCATGCATAGAAATCAGGACTGGATGGTGTTCTGAAAGATATGTGTTAGCCAAACACAAATTACTGGACTTAATAGAGGGAAATAGCTGGGTGAGATATTTGGACCATGGTTAGTGACATCATTACCATCTTCAGCCAGCAGTCTGGCCTTTTCTGGGCTTTGAAGGGGAAGCCAGACTCTTGTGCTGGCACTGCCTTTGCAAAATCTTTACCCATTGGCTCAGAAAAAGATTCAAGAAACTTCAAGACATGTGATTTTCCTGATGGAAAACAAAATGCAAGTTTCATGTAGCTGTGAGAGTCGTTTCTTCCCAAGTTGGTGCCTGATTCTTCATTCCTTAAGCAAAGACTTTGATATTATGATGACTTTTCTGACAGTTGGCAAAGAAAAAACCTAATAGGCTCTCAACAAATAGCTTTGTTGCTGATTAACTCTGAACATGTTCGCTGCAAAGCAGTGTCCTGGGTTAGCCTGTTACATGCTACTCAGAGAGAAGGCACTTTTATTTGGAGCAAGAGTCCCTACATGTTGTTAATTAGGAGCAACTCCTGTTTAGACAGGCCCCAGGAAAACTGTTGTGGCATGCATGCTTGCAAATATAGACTGTCTTCATTTGTTGTAAGTGTGAATAAGAGCCATGGATATAAAACTGTCAGTATTAAAGAGTTACATGTTGATCTGCATGAGGATAGGGAGGCTCTGCAGAGAGACTCAGATAGATTGGATCGTTGGGCTCATGTTAATGGTCTGGGCTTCAACAAGGCCAAGTGCTGGGTCCTGCACTTGGGCCACAACAACCCCAGGCAACGCTCTAGGCTTGGGGAAGTGTGGCTGGAAAGTGTCTGGCAGAAAAGGACCTGGGGCTTCTCATTGGCAAGCGGCTGAATATGAGCCAGCAGTGTCTGAAGGGTTGATGTAGAGAGGTTGGTGCTGGTCTCTTGTCACAGGTAATTAGCAACAGAACAAGAGGGAAGGGCTTCAAGCTGCAACAGGGGAGGTTTACACCGGACGTTAGGATTTATTTTTTTTTTCCCCAGAAAGTGGTCAGACACTGGAATAGGCTGCCCAGGGAGGTGGTTGAGTCACCATCCCTGGATGTGTTTAAGGGTGGTTTGGATGTGTTGTTGGTGGATCTGGTTTAGGGGAGAACTTAGTAGAGTAGGGATGATGGTTGGACTTGGTGATCCCAAGGGTCTTTTCCAACCTGAATAGTTCTATGATTCCGTGATTCTATGATTCTACATATTGCAGCATATGCTCAATAAATTTACCTGAGGCATTTATATTTGTATTTTAGACTAGGTACAATTCCAATTTATTGAGCTAGTTCTCCTCCACATACTTTGATTTGTAGTGGGTTTGTAGAGGTGAGGAAACCCTGGGAGAGAGAACAGTATAGACCAGCTGGGGGAAAATCTGAATTCCCTTTCTGTTCTTTATTTCAAGTAAATTAGCATGGACATAATTCAGTATGGATACAATTGCTATAAAAGTTCCCACTTATCTTTGGAAAGGTGGATACATTTGTCGTTTCAAATTTCTTGAGGTTTATGTGGTCACGCTCTGTTAGACTTAATGATTTCATAAACTCTTAGCAAATTTGGATCCACTTCAGGAAGTGGGTGGAGATAATAAAGATAATGCAATTTCTTTTAATTTTAGGAATATAGGCAAAAAGGTGTATAGGGAGACCCTATAAATGCTCCCTCTGAGGAAAAAGTTTGTTGTGGGAACCCATGTCTTTTGACATGACAGGGCCCTTGAGATATTTATAAGCCATCCAACAGCAGCAAAGCCTTCTGTTAGAATTCAAGACATAAAAACTCATTGATGTGGCTCTTGGCTACTGGCTTTTGTGTGGAATGCCAGACCAGTCCTGCCTCACTCCTACGTGGTGTTTGGACAAAGAATTTCATAGAAGGGGATTTCCTTCTTGTATCATATGAGCTCCATCCATTTAGACTTACACCAATGACAGAAAGCTGGGTCAGACCCTCACAGATGTATCATTCGCTCTTTCCC